ATGAGCAGCATATGCCTAAGAGGAACTTTTTTTTTGTGTGTCTTTATTTTTTGTTGGGCAAGGCAACTTGCAATGCAGCACACACAAAAAAAGAGGGAGATAGAGATATTAAGAGATGGGGAAAGGGGAAGGATGGGAGAGAGGGGGTGGTTGGCTGCATCTTTTGGCTGGCGGCCAAAATGGAGTTTCCAATGCAGAAAGAGAGGGTGATAGTGAAAGAGACACATGGGTAATATTCATTATAAGGCGCAATTAGGAAAAACATTTTTGGAGCAAAACATGAAATCCAAAAGTAAGTCAACAGGAAAATGATTGAGTTGACTTCAAAAAGAACAGAAATATCTTGGTTTACTGAATGAAACTTCAGATAAATATAATTGGATAATATACGTTTTAAAACTACTTTTAGAATACAAAATTTATCATGCCTAAAAAATTTCCCCTTAAAATAGCTAAGGACAACTCTCTTAAGCTAGTTTTTAGGAAAAAAATTAAGGTATTGGTTATTTCCGAAAAACATTTACATATAAAGAAATAATTATCATACCATCCATCAAATGTTTTTGACGCAAGCAACACAATATCCCATGATTAAATGCCTTTAATCAACTGGCAAACCTGATTGGTGAATTATAGAAATTCTTTCTTAATTTCACTTCGTTTTCTGCGGACATGAGATAATCCGGGGATTAGCATAACAAATCCTGTCACAAGAACCAACCATTGCCATTATGTAATGTCAAATGGCAGATTATGGGAAATCAAACACTTGTCACACGCCAGTTCTTCGTGAAAAGAAATTAATTGGTTGAGAAATTTGCTAAGATATTATGTTTGGCCAAAAATAATTATTGCGTGGTCTTTTTTGTCGAGATGGAAAGGTTAAGAGAATTGAGTGAGTTAACAAAGGAGAATGGTTGAAAAAAAGAAGGAAGGGTTCAAAACATTCGAAAGCTCGGCTTCTGCTGCCGATTTCCCACGTTTAGAACGAATCACAACAGAACGCATCATTAATCATTGCAGGATGACCAGGGGGTGCGGTGGGGATACCGCGATACCGCACTCCAACCGCGAGGCGGCCTAAAACTTTTTGAAAGATCCGACCAGAACAGAAACAGAACAGAACAGAACCCAACAGAATGGAGCTAAAAGGCAGGCACATTGGGCAGGTCGAAGGCATCGAAGCCACCAGCCACCAGCCACTGAAGATGCATGAACAAAAAGCAGCAGCAACAACTAATACAAGGCACAAAGGCGCGTTTCTTGTCTGGCGGATTGGTTTTCAAGAACGGGAACAGCGACGCGGCTCAGACAACTTACACTAAACAAAATACTTTTTTAATCATCTAAAGAGAAAAGTTTTAGTTCAGAAGTTAATTAATTCAATGGTAAATGGTTCTTTTTATACAAAAATCCACAAAAAAAACTCTTCTTAACTTCTAGGTACTTAGGTCGATTTGTATTGTATTGAAACATTTCTATAAGTAAGGTATTATATCTTACAAGAAACTCATAGATAACGTTCTTTAAAAAATGAGTTGCAGTTCATAAAGCCCCATTATAGAAATGAATTTAAATGTAACCTTTTTCCAAGTGCACTGTGACTTTATACCAGACTCCGACTTAAGGTCCGTTTTCATGGTCAGTCACCCGACGCATTTTGGTGCTCTTTGCCGAGCTGCAGGAGACAACAAGGGGCACCTAATTACAATCAAATGGAAGGGGGCGGACGGCTGGCCGAGATCGGCTAATAGCGAAATTAATCAAATCATCAGGGGGACAGCCGCACCGACAGACTGATAGATAGACAGGGCAGTTCCGCCCTTCGGTCTCAACTACAGAATTCAAAGCCTGCGGCCAGAAAGGAAGCATCGCATCTACATGTCCAGGTCCCATCCTAGTTTTCTTAGCCAAGTTCATTGCACGTGCCTAGGCACACTCACACAATGCTGATCCAGAGATACTGGCCAGTTGTTGTTGTTTACTTTTTCCATTCGAGTCTTAAACAATTGGCCCAAGCCAGAGCCAAAATAAAAACCAGTTTGTGTTCGGTTTTTAGCTTTTTTAGTTGGTTTGCCTGGGTTTGAGTTTGTTTGGCTGCTGTTCTCTTGAGGTGCGCTCTTAAATATCGAACTGGCTGCTTTTTCGGATACATCCGAGCAGTCTAAAAACCGAAACCAGTTTGGAGAACTGGCCAAAAGGAAACCTCCCTGCCTGCCTTCGGTGGGGGTGTTTGTAAGTTTGTCAAAATAATAAAAAGGAGGCACACAAAAAAAGGCCCGAAAAAAAGTGCAACCCAAAAACTCAAGTTTAAACTTAATAGAAAAACTTCTTTCAGCTTGCTTCTTTGTTTTCGGGTTTACTTCTTTTATGGGTTAGATACCCCTTCCATTTCACTCTTTATTTTCTTACCCCGCGGTACCCAGATAATAATCACAACATGAAACTATTTTTGAAGCACTTAAAACGAGACCCATAAATCTTTGTTTTCGGGAATAGTGGAAAGAACCGAAAAACCGAACCAGAAAATAATCTGGAGAAAGAGCAACGACATCGTAAAATTGCAGCTAGCGGACCGTTCTTTCTGCGTTGCGCCTGATTATTCTGCTTAGATGGGTTTATTATTTCATTTATTTTCATCTTTCAAACGAACCAAGTAAAATTCCAACATTCTTCGTGGCCTTGTGAGAATATTACATTTTTTACATTTACTTCTTGATCTACCATAAATATTTATAATACAGGTACGTTGGTAACAGCAATTATTCAATTCAGTTATATTGTAAAGTACATTTTGTCATACTTTTGGGAGAGTAAATATTCTTTGTAATAATTTGTATATAAATAAAGTTTTCTTTTACCATCCCTAAATGTTGTTTTCAATAAAACAACTTTATTTTCAATCAATAATCTGAAGGGTATTTTGGTTAATGGTTGGCAGGAGCTTTACACTTTTCCTCTTACTTATTTTTAAGAGTCTTTCGAAGTGGTCTTTTAATTGCAACAATGCCAACACATCGCAGGCGATGGCACGCGGCGAAAGTCAAAATGTGGAGGAAAAGGATTCCGGGCAGCATAATTAATTTCTCAAGACCTCGAGGCTTTGAGAGGGAAAGGGCAGTGAGGGGGAGTGAAAGATAACCGAAGGAGAAAATTGACAGGCTAATTTATTGTAACGGCAACTGACAAGCTCCCGCAATCGCGGGCCCAGTCATTCCACTTTCATTGTCTTCGGCTGATAAATGAAGATGAAGTCGACCTGATTTTTATTGTTATTTCCGCTTGGTTCCTTGAAGATCCCCATGGAATTGGCCATGCCCTCTTATACCACCGAATGACTGGCCGAAATTGGCAGACTTAACGGCAATTTAAAGTGACGCCTCTAATTGATGTCCCCACCGAATAAAAAGTGGGGAGAATCCTCATGAAGTTATCGCCACCAGGGGAAACTGAAATTTGTTGGGCCCTAAATTTGGTAAAACTGTCAAACAATGAGACACAATGTGGTCACACATGGCATTTAGGGGTCTGTCTTCTGGTTCCCAGTTTCGTTCCCATTTCCCAATCTAATCTGATGACACAAATGAGCAATCAGAAAATCAGCTTGACATCTGCGGGCTGTCAGCGAATGGGAAAAGTTCACTCCAGCAATTTCAGCTGTCTCGGGCGGTCAGGGGTTAAGGTTGAAGAAGGTGCCGGGAAAATTGGAAATCTAGATCAAAATATTTATGACAGCTGATAATGAGAGCAAAGGATTTGGGAAATAATGCCTACCAAAAGGGTGTTTACATTCCAATCTCACAAATGAGATAGTTAACAAATAAATGAACACTATTGTAGAGCATTTCTTTTAGAAATTTGTTTTTGGTTTTCTAAAAAGATAATAAAGAAACATTTTCTGTACCCCCTTTGGAGATTTCCTGTATTACTTTTTTATCTACTGCTAACCAAAGATTTGTTTTGATGACTCAAAAAGACCTGACATAATCTTACTCGATCAAACAATGAGTCTCGTGAGCTTGATAAAAAACGGTAATCCTATTTGTATTATATCATTTGAAATTCATTTTTCTTTTCAACTTATGTATTAAAATGTTGTCTTACTTCTAAATATATTTCTTACTTTGTTTTTCTTTTCTGATTCTATAGTTTGTAGAAGTAAAGCCTTTAAGTTTCCTGAAATCCCCAGACAAATATGGAAGACAAACTTTTTAGCAACTATTTGCTGACCACAGGCGCATTATGTGGAATTCGCACCCAGTCAATAAAAAACTTACCACCAGGTGCCAAGTTGCATTAGACTTGTATACCCAGACATATTTCCATTTCGTGGAGGTATTTGTTCCGGCCACACACCCAGAAGTGCAAGTATCTGCGTAACTCTCAGATACTTCTCGCCAGCCTCCTTTCGAGCCTGCTCATTAACGGCTTAGAAAAGTAGAAGAGCTGCACTTCAGACACGCACACAATATAAAATGAAGAAAAATCCAAATGGGGAGCCAGTTGGCACCGCAGACAATGTGTCAAATAAGGCCTGACGACAGGAAAAAGGAAAAGCGTTGCGAATGCAGAACATGTGTGTGAGAAACAAGGGGCGATAAGTGAGAAAAAATGTGCAGATACAAAGGAAGATTTTCGAATGGGGCGGGACAGTTCTGAGATCTGGGGATTTGGGGGCAAGGCAAATTACAGTGGGGGAACTCCCACAGTTGACAATGACATTTGCCTGACACGGCAAGGAAGTCGCCAGTCAAGGCTAGCCTCAAGAGGTTCTTCAACTCCCCCGGAAAGTTGGGGCTCGCATTGCAGTTAAAGATAGAATCTTTGGCGACTTCAAATATTTCTAGGCCTTTTCTTTAACTTGGCATAATATATTACATAATAAAACGGCAGAAATATAAGTTAAGCTAAGTTTACAGATATAATAATATTTTTAAATAGCTTTTCTAGTACTTACATGACTATATAAAAAAAGTGGTTACAATTTTATGGCTACTTACTTGGGTTATTGTTGGCCTCACGCCAATGTGCGGCAGCTCTGCAACCAAAGGTGGTCCGAGATAATACCTTGCAGCAACTCCACTTCTTTCCAGACCACAATCCTGGATGGTAGCGATACGATTTTGGCGTATTGCTATCTTCGCAAACTGAAATGGGAGTTAATAATAGATGATTATCTCAAAAAATCAAAAGAACAAGGGCAAGTTCAAGTTGATTTTAAAAAGGTTTGATAGCAGGTCATCGAAAAAGCATCATCTGCCTTTTTAGCCAATTAAAAGTTGTTATTAATTTTGACCTGTGTGTTTCCCAAATTTCTGGCCTATCTTTTACTAAATTCGGCTGCTCTTTGTTATCGCCTTCGATTGATCTGGCCAAAAACAGCTGCACTACTTCTCCCTTGTTTTCTTTTTGGGTCATCATCAATCGAGTCAATGGGGGCTCACCTTGGCGGATGGCGCGGATCCACTCGGTGCGCTCCTTTTCGCTGTTGGCGATCACGTAGAGTGTGTACTGTGGCACCGCTCGTCCACTCTGCTGGCCCTCGATTCCGCCCCCGCCTCCGTTCTCCAACTGCTGCGAATTCGCCGACGAAGAGATCTCACAGTAGCCCACTTGGAACGGATAACCCTGGATGGATTTTGAACGTTTGTTAATGAAACTTTGCGCTTTATTTTCCCAACGATTTCTGGCTACTCACATCCGGTGCAAAGGGATCGCCGCCCTCGCCGCTGACCGTCGCCTCCTCCACCAGGCGAACGCCCTTCAAATGAATGCGACCGCGTTCTCGTCTCCGCTGAAAGTGAAACAGATAGATGGGAAAGTTGTAATTAAGTTTTTGATAAACCAATCTAAAACGTTTATTTCATGTTGGGGAAAGGAAATCGCCAACAATTGGCGACTTAAATGGTTGGTATCTCCAATATATTAAGTACTGTTTATAAATAAATAAATATTCCCTGAGGAAATACTATAATCTAGAGATCAATCAGAATGGGAATTCTAACTTAAAAAAAATGTGAAATTCATCAATATAATATACATAGAGTAAACTTCTTTATAGTATTCCCAAAGAGATAAACAACTTGGTTTCCAATTATACTCAATTAAAAATGAATTAAGTTAAATTGGATTTACTTCCAAACGTAACGAATTGACTAATAAAATCGTTCGTTATAAACTATACAAATCGATTAAAAATATAGTTCTGCTCCAATTCATTCTAATTAAATTCGTATAATTAATTCCTTCTTTCTTGTTTTCTACAAATAAAAAGCACCACAAGCAGCAGACTTTCCATTACAGCATACCCTCTTTAAATTAGCTTCTTCAATCTTCATCATTGGACCCATTAGCAGCCCCATGCTCGTCGGCATTATCATCATTCCCACTCATCGCACAACCTCACACATTAGCAGCGCCAATTTAACGGATCGCCTTGTGGATTTTCCTGCTCACTTTCGAGTGGAGTGCGAGTTTCAATTTCAATTCTCAATTGGCCGCCAAGTTGGCTTTTCCTGCCACACTCACACACACAAACATATTTTCATTTTCGTTACGAATTTGAAGTTGAATTTGAATTTCTGCTGGCTCATGATTCCGCCCTCTTCACTCGTTCCTCTTTTTTTCCTCCCACTACTTAGCTTTTGGCTTAACCCAAATAGGTTTTGACTTTTGATGCACAAGTTTTAGGTACACAACGAAAATGGGAATGCCCCCACCATTCATTCGATAAAATATATATTTTTATCATTAAGAACTAACTATGCTATTATTAGTATATTATTTAAGGTTTTGAATACCTTTCAGTTTTATTTGTTATGAATGGACGATAATTTCAGTACAGTATTGCTATTCATTTATTCTGAAAAACGTCAAACCCCTTTCAAGTGAAGTTTTTCTCTCTGTACTTCTTTATCAACATTATGTCTCGAAAACCCAAGAAGGAAGTTCAATTTCTTTTCTTGAATTTCAGTTTCTGTTTTTTCTTTACCCTCCCCTTTCTTTTTAGGTTTTTTACTGTAAAGCTTTTGTTTTTATTTTTTTCTTATTTTGAAATTGCTGCTTGTTTATTTGAGGTCTTTGTGTCAACGCTGTTTTTGATGAGGTTTTTATGTTGCGTCTGCCGTTGGTTGCCTCACTTTGTGTTTGGATAGATTTTTTTTTCTGGGTTGCTGCGATAAGTCGGGGCAAAAGCTAACCCGACAGACGACAACGTGCTTATCTGTTGGTCTTAAAATTTCACTCTCCGAACTGCCTGTGTGTTCCACAACAGAATCCCCACCTCACGCCCGAAAGTTATGTCTTAGATGGCAGCAGCCTTTGTTGGCCGTCAGAGTCAATTAGGCCAATTACGTTGACTTAATTGAGCTGGCAGCGCTTTAAGGTCTTCCCCAATTGTTGCACCGTCTTCGCCCGGCAGTTCCCTCCCCCTCCTCACCCTATAGCCCCTCCAAAGTTGGGTTCAAGTGTCGGCACACGTGCAAAAATTACCCCTGGCGAAAAAAGGACGATGACGACGCTGCTCAAGTGCCGTCGAGTGGAATGCCAGGATGATGCCGAAAAAAGGAGCGATACGTATTTAAATGGCGCACATTTTTCGGCATCCAGTTAACTTAGTTTATTAAGCCTGTCAGGGTACGTGAATGATATGCATACTTAGGGATTTTTAACGTGAAATTGGGTATACAGCTTTCGAGGGGATGTTTGATACAAGAAAACAAAAGGGAAAAACGTTGAATCACAAAATAGTACCAAAAACAAAAACAAGTTTGTTGATAATGTTTTAGAACTAAATTACAAAGTCTGAAATCTATAAACCACATTTAGTATTTTAAGTAGATAAGCAATAAAATCTAAAGACACAAAAATCTCCTCTGTTGAAATTCAACAATATTTATATCAATATATATTTAGTTGTCACCCCCGAATATGAATATTCTGCAATCATTTAAGCATTTAGGGGATTTTTTTAATTCTTTAATTGATAAAAAATGAAATATGTTGCTTTTAAAAAAGAAGCCAAATTTTTCTTTAAAAAAATATCTTCTGCATTATCAGCTAATGTAGTTCCCCTCTGCGGCAACCCAACTTTCAGTGAATTGAAAAATTCAACAGAAATGGAGTGGGCGAAGAATAGCGCCATCAATAGGAGCAAAAAGCGGAAAAGAAGGAGGAGGCTAGGAAAATAGTCCGACAGCTAGATGACATCCGGCGTCTGTCAGCCCAATTCAACCCAGTTTCAGTTTAGTTCGCCAGACGATGCTTCCTGAACACGCCAAGTTGGCTCAGAGGAGGAGGTAGTACGTAGTGGCAGGAGGTGGAAGAGGAACATGTCGTGCCACTTTCTCGTGAATAGCCAACTGAACTGAACTGAACTGAACTAAACCGAAATGGATGTTGAAATGAAAAGTAGAACTACATAACTGCGAAAAGAGTATGACTGCTAGTTATGGTTTCTGCTTTCATATCTGCGGACAAAGTTCTGTTCTCCCTTTGAGAAAAGGTCAACGAACTAGCAGATACAAATGTATCTATATCTAAAGGTTGCGCAAATGTTCAGCATATGTCCCGACATGTGGCATCAATAAGCGAAATGGAGATGCATCTGCTACTGATTCACAGTGAAAACGAGCTAAAAATTGCTGGCAATTAAATCGAGATCTTTCAAACCCGAATGGAAATTTCCTTTGACTAAAAATAAAAAAGAAAAGCGGGATACCCTGTAAAACTGGTTTGCCGAATTCTGCTTAAAATTGATATACCCTCGTTAAACGAAATGGAAAGGCCCAGACGAAATGAAACTCCACCAAGTGAAAGTCAATTAGGGCAACATTAATCAAACTGATTAACAAAATGCAGTTTCGGTTTCGAACCTTTCTGAAATTGCCTCAAGCCAAAAACAAAAACCATAAAACCGGAGAATGATTATGGAAATGGAATGGTTAAAGACTAAACTCGATTTTGGGTGTCGAAAGTTGGTTAAGCAAACAAACTGTGGATAGAACATAAAGAAAACTTCCTTCGGGCTACTCTTTATGACAGTAGGAAATGCCACTGACATGGGAATGTTTTACTTAATTATTCTTTTTTTTTTAAAACTTATTTTTCTTGCATAATTTGTCTGATGAAAAGTATATCTTTGTTACTGTTTCTGCTGCACTCTCATCTGGCAAAGGAATTTCCGGAAGCGAGTGAATAAAAAGCAGCCAAGGGTCCAAAGGTAACACAATATGCTAAAAAGGACAACAGGTTGAAACACGAAACGCACCTGTAAAGGCACCGGGGTGTACCCTTATTTAATTCTATTGTTAAGGGGAAAAAAGAGGAAAAGAGCGTCCTAATGGCACGGCAATCACCTGTGCATAATTGAGAGAGCTGTCAAAGCAAAATGCACCTCAGGTAGGCAAAAAAAAAATAAAATACAAAAACCAAGAGAAAAAGAAAAATGGGGAGCTGGCGAAGGAAAACGCAACAAAAGTCCCGGAAAATTGAGTACCAGCAGCATAAAGGCAAAACGATTAAGTGAAAATTGCCATTGCAGAGGGTCAAAGTGGAGTGGGTTAGCAGAAAGAGAGAGCGTGGAAAATAAAACGATAATTGAAAAATAGATGAAGAGAGTAAGCGGAGAAAATGCAATTAAAAGTAGAAGCAAATTTACTAGAATTTTGCATCACTTTTTCAATAAACACTAAATGATGTTAAAATTTCATTAAAATCTTAAAGTGGTTCTAAATAGAAAATGTTAACAATTATCTTTAAATACTTCTTAAGTATCAATAATTTAATTTTTAGCAACATAAACCTATATAGAAACAAAATGTTAAGCACTAAGCATTTTTCCCATGTTACTAAAATGGGAACCATGTACTATCTAACAATAACTAGAACACTCCCTAAAATGTTTATTCCCACGATGGCAAATGTAAGTGCTCTTTAAATTATAATGATACCAACCCGATTATAATGGTAGATGCACTTCATTGGACAGTTAAGTGTATTCCCTCCCACTCTTTATCTATATCGCCCACTCGAGTGCATCCTCGAAGTTCAAGAGTGAAACCTTTACAATGTTGATTAATGAAAACCAAACTGCCTCATGTGGCATGTTAAAATGCCATTTCGGTTCGACTTTGAGCTGCGTAACGAATCGGGCAAGATATGTACATACATATGTTCCCTTCGATTGATCGAGGGGAAACTATGGAGTGGGGGAACCCCCTGACAATTCCCATGATTGATTGCAACTGGGAAGGAGCGCTTCTTGAACTGACCGCATGTGGAGTGCGATTGAAAAATTGCCTCAAATAAATTATAACTGTAATAAAGAGAAAACCAAATGTACAAAATGCCCCAGCGTAATGGTTTTTCAATTTCCCCAACCTCCCCGGCTTTTTTTCTTTACTATAATTATTACAATTTCACGCGTAGGAGCGGCGAAGAGCGATAAATTTCAGTTAAAAGAAGAATGTAAACAAAGACAGCCGTTGTTTCTTTGCCTTGCCGTCTGTTTCCTCTATTGACCAAGGGGGCAGAGGAAAATTTATGCATTTTTCCAATGAAAACGAAAATTTTCCTATGCATAATTCTAGTTGTTTTCGCTGCTCTTTTGGTGCTGGTTCCCAGCCATCAAAAGGACATGGTTGGTTGACTCGTATGTTCTGGTCAAGCTGTAGTAATTAATTTTAGTGTGGGTAATTTCTGCTAAATCATTCCCTGTTCATCTAGGCTGTCTTCGCCTCTTCCTGTCAACAGACGAACACCACTTCCTCTGCGAATATTTATCGCTAAATTTGC